CATACTGCCCAAAGTAATCTATAGATTCAACACAATCCCTGTCAAGCTCCTGATGACCTTCTTCACAGAACTTTGATTCCACACAAAGTTTAAAGTGGCAAAAAACACTTTAAACTTTGTATGGAATCACAAAAGACCCCACACAGCCAAGACAATCCTAAGTAAAAAGAACAAAGCTGGAGGCATCACATTGCCAGACTTCGAATGATATTACATGGCTACAGTAATCAAAACAGCGTGGTACTGGTACCAAAACAGAGACATAGACCAGTGGAACAGAATGGAGACCCTAGAAGAAATACCACACATCTACAACCATCAGATCTTTCACAAACCTGACAAAAACAAGCAATGGGGAAAGGACTCCCTGTTTAACAAATGGTGTTGGGAAAACTGGCTAGAAATGTGCAGAAAGCAGAAACTGGACCCCTACCTGTCACCTTACACTAAAATTAACTCCAGATGGATCAAATATTTAAACATAAAACCTAACACCAAAAAAACACTAGAAGAAAACATAGGTAAAACAATCCAGGACATAGACATAGTCAAGGACTTCATGATCAAAACACCAAAAGTAATGGCAATATAAGCCAGGATAGACGAATTGGATCTAGTTAAACTCCAAAACTTCTGTACAACAAAAGAAACCATCATTAGAGTGAACAGGAAACCAACAGAGTGGGAAAAAAATTTTGTAATCTACCCATCTGACAAAGGGCTAATACCCAGAATCTACAAGGAACTAAAAGAGATGTACAAGAAAAAAACAAATGACTCCATTCAAAAGTGGGTGAAGGATATGAATTGACACTTTTCAAAAGAAGACACATAGGGGGCCAACAAACATGAAAAAATGCTCATCATCACGGGTCATTAGAGAAATGCAAATCTAAACCACATTGAGATACCATCTCATGGCATTTAGAACGGCGATCATTAAAAAATCTGGAGACAACAGATGCTGGAGAGGATGTGGAGAAATAGGAACACTCTTACACAGTTGGTGGGAGTGTAAATTAGTTCAACCATTGTGGAAGACAAGTGTGGCAATTTCTCGAGCATCTAGAAACAGAAATTCCATCTGACCCAGCAATCCTACTACTGGGTATATACCCAACGAACTATAAATTGCTCTACTATGAAGACACATGAAAACTATGTTCATTGCAGCCCTGTGTACAATAGCAAAGACTTGAAACCCACCCAAATGTGCATCAATGATAGACTGGACAAAGAAAATGTGGTACACATACACCATGGAATACTACACAGTCATACAAAACAATGAGTTTGCATCCTTTGTATGGACTTGGATGAATCTGGGAACCATTATTCTCAGCAAACTGACACAAGAACAAAGTCAAACCCCGTATGTTCTCACTTACAGGTGGGTGTTGAACGAGAACACACGGACTCAGGGACAGGAGCATCACACACTGGGGACAGTTGGGGGGTGTAGGGGAGAGAGAGTGGATGGTGGGGAGGTAGGGGAGGGATAAGAAGGGGAGAAATGACAGATATAGCATGCACCTAAAGTAAAATAAATAATTTAGAAAAAAAAAGAACTATAACAAGAAAGAAATGTAACAGGGTTTCAGGATGCAACATGAATAAACAAATATTAATTATATTCCTATATATAAGATACATGTTTCTTTACACTGTATGTTAAAAAAAATTCAAAATCATATGCCGTAAGTGCATACAGGAAAAAAAAAAATTCAAAATGAAATTAGGAAAACTTCCATTTATAATCACAACAAAAACAAAAATTTGCTGTTATCACTTTAACAAAGTTGCACCGAAAACAAAGCAAGAAAACAATAACGACAACAACAATAATATTGCTCAAGTAAGTATAATAGACCCAAATAAATGGTAAGACATCCCTAAACAAATGGAAGGGCATTCCACGTTCGTTGATTGTTAAGATGGTAATACATTACACAAACTGAATAGGCTTTGTCAAAGTTCTAGCTAGTATCTTTGTAAAAAGACAATGCCTAAAATCCAATAAAAAATTAAAAAAAATAAAAATAAAATAAAAAAAATAAAATGTTTCTACCTGGAGCACATTTTCCACAGGGAACACCTGTTGTACAGATGACTCATTTCCAATTTAATTCTCACCAAATTAATTTGTTTTTGACCTACAGGAAAGGGTTAAATACAGGTCTGACCCCAGGAAAAAAAAAAAAAAAAAAAAAAAAAAAAAAAGACAATGCTAATGCTAAAACCCATATGGAATTTCAAGGGACCTACAATAGCCAAAACAATCTTAAAAGATAACACAGTATTGAAAATTCTGCCCAGGCAATCAGGCAGGAGAAATAAAAAAGGGTCATTCAGATAGGAAAATAGGAAGTCAAATTATCTCTGTTTGGAGACGACATGATTGTATATTTAGAAAATCCCACTGTCTCAGCCTGAAATGTCCTAAAGCTGACAAGCAACTTAGGCAAAGTCTCAGGATACAAAATCAATGTGAAAAGAATCACAAGCATTTCTATACGCCAATAATAGACAAACAGCTAAATCATGAGTGAACTCCAATCACAACTGCTACAAATAAAATTAAATCTCTAGAAATAAAACTTACAAGGGATGTGAAGGAACTCTTCAAGGAGAACTATAAACCACGGCTCAAGAAAGAGAGAATGCAAACAAATGAAAAGTCATTCCACCCTCATGAATAGGAAGAATCAATATCATGAAAACAGCCATACTGCGCAAAGTAATTTATAGATTTAATTCTATCCCCACCAAGCTACCATTGGCTTTCCACACAGAATTTGAAAAAACTACCTTAAATTTCATATGGAACCAAAAAAACAGCCTGCATAGCCAAGACAATCTTAAGCAAAAAGAAGAAAGCTGGAGGCATTATGCCCCCTCAATTCAAACTATACTACAAGGCTACAGTAACAAAAACAGCATGGTTCTGGTACCAAAACAAATATATAGATCACTAGAACAGAACAGAGGCCTCAGAAATAACACCATACATCTATAACCCTCTCATCTGATAAACCTAACAGAAACAAGCAATGGGGGAAGGATTCCCCACTTAATAAATGTTGCTGAGAAAACTGGCTAGCCATATGCAGAAAGCTGATTAGCCATATGTATACCCTACTGGACTTAATTATACTTGTTATGATTTTTAATTCTATATACATCACACAATTCAGAAAGAACAAGTAAAACTATTTTCAAACAATATAATCCCATACATGGAAAAATTTAAGAATTGATAAAAAACAATTACAAGGAAAAATGTAACAGGGTCCCCTTCCTTACACCTTATACAAAAAATAACTCTCAATGGATTAAATATTTAAATGTAAAATCTAAAACCAAAAAACCTGGAAAAAGACTTCATGACTAAAACACCAAAAACAATGGCAACACAGGCCAAAATTGACAAGTGGGATCTAATTAAACTAAAGAGTTTCTGTACAACAAAGAAACTACCATCAAAGTGAACAGACAACCTACAGAATGGAGAAAATTTTTGCAATCTATCTATCTCACAAAGGACTAATTTCCAGAAACTACAAAGAACTTAAACAAATTTACAAGAAAAAAAAAACTCCATCAAAAGTGGGCAAAGGATATGAAGAGACACTTCTCAAAAGAAGACATTTATGCAGGTAAAAAATATATGGGGAAAAAAAGCTAATCATTCTCACTGGTCATTAGAGAAATGTAAAGCAAAACCACAATGAGATCCCATCTCCAGTCAGTTAGAATGGCTATCATGGAAAACTCAAGAAACAATAGATGCTAGAGAGGATATGGAGAATCAGTACCACTTTTACACTGTTGCTGGGCATGTAAATTAGTTCAGCTATTATAGAAGACAATGTGGCAATTTCTAGAACAAGAAATACCATTTGATCCAGCAATTCCATTAGTGGGTATCCACCCAAAGGATTATAAACCACTCTACTATAAAGACAGATGCACACATATGTTTATTGCAGTGCTATTCACAATAGCAAAGATTTGGAATCAACCCAAATGTCCATAAATGAAAAACTGGATAAAGACAATGTGACACATATAAACCATGGAATACTATGCAGTTATAAAAATGAGTTCATGTCCTTTGCAAGGTCATGGTGAAGCTGGAAACTATCATTCCCAGCAAACTAACAAAAGAACAGAAAACCAAACACTCTATGTTCTCACTCCTAAGTGGGTGTTGAACAATGAGAACACATGGACATAGGGAAGGGAGCATCACCCCCTGGGGCCGGTTGGGGTATGGGACTAGGAGAGTGATAGCATTAGGAGAAATACCGAACAGAGGTAACAGGATGATGGGTGCAGCAAGCAACCACGGCACACATAAACGTAATGTAAAAAATCTGCACATTCTACACATGTATCCAAGAATTTAAAGTGTAATAATCATGATAATAACATAGATAACACAATTAAAGAACTGCCATTTCATAATTTGTAAATGTTCTAGAAAGCTGAAATCAATGCAATGTGATTCTGGTTTAATGACACAGACAGCCAATCTATGAAACACAACATAAAGCTCCTAAACACTTTCATCTATGATTGACTTATTTTTGACAAAGATGGGAAATCAGATCCTAAAAACAATCTTTTAACAAATGCACCTAAAATCAGATCCTAAAAACAATCTTTTAACAAATGCACCTAAAACAACAATATTCATATGCAAAAAAGCAAAGCTGAAACTCTTATCAGCATACTATACACAAAAAAATATAAACTCAAAATAGAATACAGACCTTACTAAATAATTATGCAATTTAGTTAGACCAAAATACAGGAGAAAATCATTGAGATCTTGGATTAGGCAATAATATCTTAAAATGAAAGCAAAAACTTAAGTGACAAAAAAGTAACATTCTGTGAAAATGAAAAAATTACTTTTTAAATTAAAAATTAATTAATTTTTGGAAAAAAAGTAATTTTTGTCTTATAAGCAACATAAGAAAGTGAAAAGAACATACCAAGAAATAGAATATATGTGCAAATCATATATCTGATAAGGGATTCATATCCAGACTATATAAAGATCTGTTGTAACTCTGAAATAAAAAAAAGAAAAAAGAAATGCCAATAAGCCCAAGAAGCTGATCAACATCATTAACCACTAAGCAAATGCAAATCAAACCCAAAACAAGTTATGAATTTAACCGCAGTAGAATGGATACAATAAGAAAGACAGATAAGAGGAGAAACTACAGTCTCATAAACTGCTGGGAATGTAACATGGTGCAGCCATTGTAGAAACACTTCAAAATGTTCCACACAGTTATTATATGACTGAACAATTCCACACCTAGGTATACATATATCCCTGAGACAACTGAGGATATATGTGTACAAAGAAAGCTGTACACCAATATTTATAATAACATTACTCATAAAAGCTCAAGAGTGGGAAATACCTAAATGGTCATCAACAGATTAATGGATAAACAAAATATAATCTATCTCTATCATGGAATATTTTTCAGTAATACAAAAAAAATGTACAAACAAAAACTTGTAACTGAATTTTCAGAGCAGTCATTATCATTCCCAATAGTCAAAAGAGGAAACAACCCAAATAAGAATTTACTGAAAGATGGCCGGGCACGGTGGCTCAAGCCAGTAATCCCAGCACTTTGGGAGGCCGAGGCAAGTGGATCACGAGGTCAAGAGATCGAGACCATCCTGGTCAACATGGTGAAACCCTGTCTCTACTAAAGATACAAAAATTAGCTGGGCATGGTCGCGCGTGCCTGTAATCCCAGCTACTCAGGAGGCTGAGGCGGGAGAACTGCCTGAAGCCAGGAGGCGGAGATTGCGGTGAGCCGAGATGGCGCCACTGCACTCCAGCCTGGGTAACAAGAACGAAACTCCGTCTCAAAAAAAAAAAATTAAATACATAAATAAATAAATATGAAATTACCACTCAACTTGGTGAGGGAGAAAGAAAGGAGCAATCATTTGGGAAAAACTCAGGCTGCACCTACATAGAGATCAGCAACTTCGTATAATTTAGTGAGTTCCCTCTTGAAAAGTTTCCTCCACTTTACCAGCATACACATGGTGGAAACTTGCACAGGGAGGAGGGGGGCTTGTCTGGATACATACTTGCAACTGCAAAAGATAGGGGGAGTTGCACAGGTAGCAACTGATAAGTTACTCAAACTGCTAAAGAGATGAGAGGAGTTTCTTCTAAAACCTTTTGAATTCAGCTATAACCTGGCAATCTACTCATACTCCTCTCTCTGCTACGGAAAGCTTTTGTCTTTCACTTACTAAATTTTTGCTCCAACTCCACCTTTGTGCCCACATTTCTTAATTTTCTTGGACACAGGATAAAGAATGTGGGGTACTAGTTAAGGCAATGAGAAACTGCTACGTTAAGGTGCCTTGGTGAGACTGAAACATATTTTGGTGTACTGCCTGGGAAGAAGGGAATTTGTCAAAAAAATACGGGCAGTCCTTTAACCCCTTACTTTCATTTCTGAGGCTTTGTATCTATTCCAATCCAGTTTCCTTTCATGGAGGGCCTAGCCATAAGGTGGAGATGGAAGGGAAGGAGGTCCCAGGGTAACTGAAGACACCACAGTAGTATCTGAAGGGCCTTGGCCTAACTCCCATCCGGACCTGGGGAGCTGTCCAGGTGTCAGCACAAGGATTTTATCTTTTTCTATTTCATTTTCCTTCTCTTTTGTGGCTAGCATGTCTCCTGTCTCCTCTTTGTATGTAATGTTGTATGTTTTCACAACTTTGGCATGTAATCTTGTTGTATAGTCAGCTGGTGCCTTACCAATCAAAAATGTAATTTAGAGAATTGATGTGTCTGGGATTTCCTTGAGACACGAGGAGTTCAGGATTTCAATTTAAACTTTCACCTAGTAAAGGCTTTTTGTCTCCAATGACTGATATTCATGGCACTGTACAGGGGGTTATTTCATACCAAGTGAGTATCCTCTTTCCTCTTCATTTGGATTGTTCCCTTTCTATTTGGGTTGTTTCTTCCCTCCATGTAAAACCCCAACACTGTCCCATAAATTAAACAGTTCCTTTATGAGACAAGTTAATTTTCTTCTGCTGGGAGGCATTCTCGAGGACAGATTATTGAACCCAAAATCTCTCTTTCTAACTTACTCTGATTAAGATGGAGTCAAGTGCTCTAACTTTTCAAACTCTACAGCGCCACCTAGGGGGACAGGATTTTTTTTTTTCTCTCTCTCTCCATGAGGACCCTTGTTGGCCTGATACCCAAAATTACTAGTTTGCCAGTTCCTCTCCCTCTTATATCCCCCTATTAAGGGACTAGGCTCCATGCCCCATCTGTAAATAGGAAAGTTCCACTTTTACAGTACAGAGGGCAGCTATTTAATTCATATATTCTTTTAAGGCATCTGTTTTACATCCATCTACACTGGCATTTAAACAAGAAGATTTTATGTTTGAAAGTCAATCAGTCCCATTCTTTCAGGTTTCAATGTTTCACAAAAACCACAGCAAGGGAAGACAGAGATAATAGTAAAACACTGTTCAGGCCAGGGACAGTGGCTCATGCCTGTAATCCTCACACTTTGGAAGGCCAAGGCAGGTGAATCACCTGAGTTCAGGAGTTCAAGACCAGCCTAACCAAGATGGTAAAACTCCTGTCTCCACTAAAGTACAAAAATTAGCTGGGCATGATGGCAGGTGCCTGTAATCCCAGTTGCTTGGAAGCTGAGACGGGAAAATTGCTTGAACCTGGGAGACAGTAGTTGCAGTGAGCCGAGATTACACCACTGCACTCCAGCCTGGGCAGTTGAGCAACACTCCATTAAAAAAAAAAAAATACACCACTCCCTCCACTAAAGGGCCTTGCCCCAATGCAACTAGTACTATACCTCGAGACCCATCCGTCAAGAAGTCACACAGACCATAGACATCTAGAAGGTCAAAGGGTACTTTAGTGCACCAGCAGAGCACTAAAGCCACATGGTGAGCATGACTAGCCCCACAGCTTAGTTCCTCTGGTACCATGGTTTTGGGGTCACACCTGCAACCATGGGTGACACATTCAACATGGTGCTGGGAACTAGTAACCAAAGAGGGAAAAACAGTTGGCAGGGAGCCTACTCTGTCTTCCTCCCCATCCTGAGTCACTCAGTAAAAGAAAGACACTGAGGGATGCCTCTTATCTCTTTTCTAGATACATGGGACCCCATCTTCAAACCTACACTCCCGTTGAATACAGCCTGGATCCCCTTTAACCCTCAGACAGTTCACTCTGGGAAAGACCCAATTTCACTCACATATGTAGCCTTCCAGGATATAAGCCAAGTATTTAAATGCTCCTGGAAGAATGTTCTAGGGAAGGGAAAGCCATGAGAAAAGTGGCAGTGCCCGTAAAGGATCTAAATGAGACTATGATGATAGCATCAGAAAATGGAGAGGGAAACTTTTACAAATGTGTATAATGAAGGACTTGCAGGAGATTAGAGCCAGACCTGTTAAGTATTCCAAGCGTTCCATGACAGATCAAAAACTAGATGAAAATCACTCCAGCTTTTTGCAAGGTATGTGAGAAACTTTAGTGAAATACACCTCTTTCTCTCCCAATTCAATAAAAAACATATCTATTACTCAAGCAGTCCTAATATGGGAAGAAAGTTAACGAAACAGATCCTGTTGAAAATCTAAATTTCTCATCCTCAAGTTAAAACTCTGCTGTGTGTAAATGACCCTCTCCTCTGTGCCCCAATCAAGGAAGTCTCAAAATCTAACACTCAGCTCTATCAGACTTCAGTAAAGCACCTAGGTCTAGTCTTGTCAGAAGGGACAGGAGAACTAGGTGAGAAAATGATTAAGTCTATTTCCTTTACCAGTCAAGCGGATTATTAGGCATTAATGGATTTTAAAGACTGTGAATACCTGAGTACAGGGAATTGGATCTCCCTTTATACTACCTTCTAAGAGAAACTCAAACAGTTAAAACTCACCCCCCAAGTTGGGACTATGAAGCTCAAAAAGCCTATAAGACCCTAAAGTAAGCTTTACTTAAAACACCAGTCCTCAATCTTCTCACAGGGAAAGCATCAGTCTCTGTGCATCAGGAAAGAAAGGAAATGGCCCTGGAATTTTTAAGGACAGAGGTCTGGCTCAATAGCCAGTAGGTAACTTAAGGAAATTAACTTGATGGCTAAAGGATGGTCAGCCCTCCTCCAAGCAGCTACGGTGTGCCTTGCTGATGCTAGACGCTACGGGGTTAACCATGGGAAATAACTTTTTTTTTTTGAGACAGGGTCTCACTCTATTGCCCAGGCTGGAGTGAAGCAGCGCAGCTCACTGCAACCTCAGCCTCTCAGGCAATTCTCATGCCTCAGCCTCTCAAGCAGCTGGGCTTACAGACATGTGCCTTCAGACCTGGCTCATTTTTCATATTTCCAGTAGAGGTGGGATTTCACTATACTGGCCAGGCTCGTCTTGAAATCCTAACCTTAGGTGATCTGCCTGCCTCAGCCTCCCAAAGTGCTGGGATTATAGGTATAAGCCACCACACCCAGCCTAATTTAACTGCTACCACCCCATAAAATATGGAAGAACTGCTGTCCCTTAAGGAAACGCTTTGGTTAATAGACAAATTGCCTTCTCAGATATCAAGCTTTGCTGCCAAAGGGATCTGCTGTCCTGTTAAAACCTGTCCTTGCCTGAACCACTTTCTCCCAGAGAAAACTGGAGAACCTGAATATAACTATGAACAGCTAGTAGAAGAAAGTGGTAAAATAAATAACAATCACTATTTACATGCTCTGTAAAGTTTTAATTAATGAAAAAGGATTTTTTAAAACAGTGCTCTATTTGGCCAGGCGCAGTTGTTCATGTCTATAATCCCAGCACTTTGGGACGCCAATGTGGGTAGATCACCTTAAGGTCAGGAGTTCAAGACCAGCCCGGCCAACATGGTGAAACCCTATTTCTGCTAAAAATACAAAACTTAGCTGGGCATGGGGGTGCATGCCTGTGATGCCAGCTACTTGGGAGGCTGAAGCAGAATTGCTTGAACTGGACCTGGGAGGCAGAGCAGAGGTTGCACTGAGCCAAGATTATGCTACTGTACTCCAGTCTGGGCTACAGAGTGAGACTATGTCTCCTCCCCATCCCCCTCCCCCCCAGATAGGGTGCCCAACTTAATTCAAAGTAGATATCTAAGCTATGGGTATATTTAAAAGGCCCTGATGTTTTTCTAGACCTTGTTTTTCTACAGAAGGTCTGTCAGTCAAATGAAATAACTTCTTTCACTCTGTCTTGCCACTCTTGGTGCATACATGAAAGACCCTGGAATGAATTCTCGTGACCTCGGATTTCTTGAGAAAACAGACAAGGCACCATAAATCCCATTTTGCAAGAAATTTCTATTTTCCTCATGGAATCCCCGTAATTAGAGGTAAATAAGTCCCTTTCAAAATCTGTCTTTGTCTTTCACCTATGCCATAGGCAATGGAAACTGTGTTCCCAGCCTTGCTCTTGAGGGCTACACCCTAAGCTGTTGTATCTTCTTCTGTCTATGTAGTAATATATGTGATATGTATAGGATGTCTATAAAAAGAGCTCTAGTTAACTAGCCTAAATAAATAAGGACTTAAATCAAATATTTTTAGGGAAAAAATAAAAGCTGTAGTACCTTTCAGTTCACATGGCTTTCATCTTTAAAAGTAAAAATAGTTTCTTAGAAATTATTGGTAAAACACAAGCGTCTTTAAGTTATAAAAATGTGGTCTAAATTATGCAGGTAAGATAACAGCTACACTAAGTATTTTAAGGTTGTAAAGTGCCTGATTCACAATTGGTAGGGCCTGGGAACATATGGAAGTAATACACCCATAGGTAGGCTGAAAGGAATCAAACTTTATCTTCACCTCGCACATAATTAAAACAAACAAGCAGGGGTTTTTTTTGTTATTTTTTTATTTTGCAATGGAATCTCGATCTTGTCACCCAGGCTAAAGTGTAGTAGTGCAATCTTGGCTGAACGTAACCTCCGCCTCCAGGGTTCAAGCAATTCCCCTGCCTCAGCCTCCCAAGTAGCCACCACACCTGGCTATTCTTTTTATTTTTTTTTATTTTAGTAGAGACAGGGTTTCACCATGTTGGCCAGGATGGTGTCGATCTTCTGACCTTGTGATTTGGCTGCCTTGGCCTCCCAAAGTGCTGGGTCTGCAGGCCTGAGATGCCATACCCGGCCCCGGATTTTCATTAAAGTTAAAAATTCTTAAGGGTTACCATTTTGACATGTAATTGAAACTACTGAAAGTAGATCTGTATGCAAGGTATATAAAAGCAGTAAATGTGTTTTCAGTAAAAGATTATAAGACATTGAAATGTACACTTTGCTTACGGATAAAGAACTGTGTTCTTAAACTTAAAGCAGAAAGTTTAACCAAATTGAAAACACTGAAAAAATTAATCTTGCAAAGGAAATTGTGTATGAACATTGTAGCTAAATTCAAAAGGGTATTATAGGTTGTTTTTTTCTGTAAATTAAACATTTAAATAAAAGCACAACAAGGTTTTCTTAAGATGTCAATCTGTTCTTTGTCAAAACAGGTAAAGGGTTATAACATGTTTGTGAAAATGTCACCTCATGGTCAAACTGGTTAAAACTGAATAGGATTATCTATAAGGTTTCATTAAAAATTGGGGCTAACATTAATAGTAAACTAATACAAGGGCGATTTTTTTTTTTTGAGACGGAGTCTCACTCTGTCGCTAGGCTAGATTGCAATGACCTAATTTTGGCTCACTGCAACCTCTGCCTCCCGCGTTCAAGCAATTCTCCTAAATCAAGGGTGAAATTTAACTTTCTCTCTTGAATAGGAGGATTTCCATATAATATTAAAGACTGATGGAATAATTTTATGGAACATCTGAGGTTCTAGTGCCTGAATATGTGGTTAATCACAATCAAGGTTTTTATGTTGGGCTATTGTAAATCATGGAAATAATCGTATTTGTGAATCATGCTCTTAACTGCAACCATGTTGGACAATTTGTCATTTATAGACAATTACTGTCTTGCTTGAATTGTCTTCAAAAAAACAGTTTATAATAGCTGTGAAACTTTAACAGGTGCTCTCAAACCCAGGTTTCTGATAACAGAAGAATGTACAGGACTCAGGCAAAGCTGAAATGTTTACAAATATAGAGCGATCTTTTTGGCTTATGCTTGGAACATTGCTAATCCTTATTTTTTTTTTCAGAGTCAAGGAAACTTGTCTTGAGCTAGGTAGCTACTGCCTTTAACATGCTCCTGCGAACAAGGTTTAGAGCATATTTGTTTCTTTCTGCTTGGTTCCTCTAAAATTCTTGACTTTTAATTATAATATGGTTGCTTGCATCAGTGCAGTAAGAAACCATTTCATTTTACAACAGTACACAATTGGAAAAACTGGTTGTTTAACCAAGGCTTTGACGGAAAGGTGTGTATTTCCCTTGAATGAATCTGTCTTGACTTTGACAGCCAATAAAAGCCCCTTGGGAAAAGTGGCTTCATGCCGTGTCTACACAGCTCACATACAGAGTTCCTACCTTGAGGCAAGTAAAGAATGTCACTTTCTAACAGGCCTGGGCACACCATGCTCTTGGAACCTCAAGAAAAGACAAGTTTACCTAACTCACAGGTTTCTGAGGGTACAAACCCTTAGCTAGGTTTGGCTTCACAAAGTCCCATCTGAGATTCCTTGTAGAACAAAGTTTCATCAAAGCCTATCTAAAAGACCTGTGTAAAGATAATTATTTTTGCTGTACTTTATGCAAATAATCAGACCAAGATTAAAAGTAAACTGTATTGTGCAAACAACTTAATCTTACCAAAATTTGTTCTTAACAGAAATGAGGACTGGAAAGAAGGAAATTATGTTCCACACTTACATATCTGTCATTGACTTCTAGTCTCATTAATTGTTTTTTATGCTATTGCCTAGTTTTTATTTTTTTCTTTGAGACAGAGTCTTGCTCTGTTGCCCAGGCTGCAGGGCAGTGGCACAATCTCTGCTCACTGAAACGTCCATTTCCCAGGTTCAAGCAACTTTCCGAGTAGCTGAGGCTACAGGTGTATGGGGTTTCACCATGTTGGCCACGATGGTGTCGACCTTGTCATGGGCCCACCTCAGTCTCCCAAAGTGCTGGGATTACAGGTGTGTGCCACTCTGTCTGGCTACTTGCCTACATTTTAAACTAACCATGCTTACGCCTGTAAACCAATGAGTGATCTCTGGCTGCAGCTCAAAGTAAACAGAAAGGGATGTGAAATGTAAAAACCTGGAACAATGTTCTAGTTCAGAGTGACTATCCTACAAATGCTGCCAGGTAACCTATAACCTGGAGGACTGGAGGTTTCACTTTTGGGGAAGGTAAGAGCAAGGAAATTCAACAAAGCCAAGCCCCATGCACTCAAATCTTAACGGGCACAGCCATAGTCACCAGTTGTGAGTGTTATGTCTACAGCCTCCAAATTTTAAAGGTGTCTTTACCCACTCCTTGTATCATTTTAGTAAACAAGCACTAGTAACCCAAACTGTTTCTTTTCACTTAGGAACTGTCAAGTTCCAAATGCTCATTTAAATGGAACCATGCATAAACATTCCTTTCATCTGAGACCCTAAACCATCCATTGGAGAAATCCTAGCTACAGTTCCCCACACAATGCCTCTCTCCAGCAGAAAGTCATCAGGAAGACGAATTTCCAATCTCCCTAACAGCACTTAGGGTTTCCACTCCTGAAAAAGAGAATGAGTGAGAAGCAAAGGAAAAACTAATTTGGAGTGCAGTGGTGTGATCTCAGCTCACTGCAACCTCTGCCCCCCAGGCTCAAGCAATTCTCCTGAGTAGCTGGGATTACAGGTGTGACCCATGCCCAGCTAATTTTTTGTATTTTTAGTAGAGATGGTGTTTCATCATGTTGGCCAATCTGGTCTTGAACTTCTGACTTCATGTGAGCTCCCAAAGGGCTGGGATACAGGTGTCAGACACCATGCCCGGAAACATAATGTACTTTTAAAAATTATAATTACACTAAGGTCATCTTGAAAATTTTTGAATTAAAAAGGAGAGGGGAGAAAAAAAAGAAAGAAACTGACACTAGATCCTCCACTGTGATTATGGCTGTCTTGCTGCATTACTGTTTGAGAAGTTATCTCAGGACTAAAAGCAATAGGAAATTAATTGAAAATATCAAAAATAATTTCTCAATATTGATGTCCTTGCCTACACCTTTGATATACTTACAGCAGATTAAAATACATAAAAAGTGATCTCAAACAAATTCATATTATGCTGGCATAGTAAGATGAAGCCTCCTAATCCCTTTTTGTGGTAATTCTAGTTTAACACATCTGGGGTGGTAAGTGAGAATTCAAAAACAGTTGTGAAACGATTATCCAGGTCACTTCTGACTTCTGTATATAATTCTCTTTCTTTTCTCTACATACTCCACACTGGCAAAATCTGTCTATGTACTAAATTGTTACAGTGTGTAAATTTTCATTGTCATGTAGTGTTCCACATAAAAACAGTCCACATCCCTGCACTTTGGGAGGCCGAGGCGGGTGGATTACAAAGTCAACAGATCTAGACCATCCTGGTCAACATGGTGAAACCCCATCTCTACTAAAAATAGAAAAATTACCTGGGCATGGTGGTGCATGCCTGTAATCCCAGCTACTCAGGAGGCTGAGGCAGAAGAATTGCCTGAACCCAGGAAACAGAGGTTGCGGTGAGCCGAGATCATGCCATCTCCAGCCTGGGTAACAAGAGCGAAACTTCGTCTCAAAAAAACAAATAAACAAACAAAAAAGAGTTCACAGTTTACTTAACCTTCAGTAATATACAGATATTTAAGTTTTCTCCAGTTACTAATAAAACAATTCTGTTAAAATACTGTTGCACACATACCTTAGTAAACATATTCATGAGTTTCTCTAGGGCATATATGCAGAAATAGCATAGCAGGGTGATAGAATATATGAATCTACACTTAAAAAAGAAAGGCCAAGCTATTACACTCTCTTGTGGTTGATTAGCAACTAAAGCTCCCAACAAAAATCTAATTTACTGAAATAGGTATTTATGAATAATGACAAATGGGCTTATATTTTTGATCCATAAATTCACCAGCCTTAAAAACCAGCTAGACCATTGTAACAAAATGCCTTTAAAAGTGACATTATGACATTAGAAACCTCTTGCTTTCTGAATTTCATTTCTATATGGCCGTATATATAACTCCAAAGAACCTGAATGTTTCATACCTCATTTTCCAATTATTCTCTGCATTTCTACAGGTTATTTTAACCAAAATCAAAATGAAAAGTGCCAGTGGAAACAAATTCAAAGCAATAATCTAAGTGAAAGAACATTAAGATTCTACATTTGTGATGAAATTTTTTTTTTTTTTTTTTTTTTTTAGGAGGAAGGGAGGAAGGCAGGAAGGGACGGAAGGAGGAAGAGAGGGAGGAAGGAAGAGATGAAGGAAGGAAGGGGGGAAGGAGGGAGGGAGGGAGAAAGGGAAGGGAAGGAAGGAATTCAAGCAATGAGAGAGACATTGCTGACCCGTATCTAGAGGTTTACAAGTTGATTTCTTTTTTTGAGAGAAGGAAAGAAAAAAAAAATGAGTAAAGGAGAGAAAGAAAGAGGAAGAGAGAGAGGGAGGATGAACAGAAATACTGCTTTATTCTGAAAAAAAAAATGGGTATTAATAATGGCCAATCAATGTTTCATTTAAACCTATGAGTAGGTGTGATGTGGTATTGACAAGAATGTATATTTTATGCATTTGAAGTGGAGCGCTCTATATATATTTATTAAGTTTACTTATTCCAGATCTGAGTTCGAGTCCTTGATATCCTTATTAATTTTCTGTCTCACTGAATCTAAGTCTCTATGTATCTGGGTGGTAGGATCATTAGCTCTTGTTGTTGTATTGATCCTTTTACCACTATATCTTTGTTGCTTTAAAATCTATTTTATCCCATATGAGAATTGCAACTCCTTATTTATTTATTTATTTATTTATTTATTTTTGCTCTCCATTTGGTTGGTAAATCTTTCTCCATTCCTTTGTTTTGAGTCTTTGTGTATCCTTGCATGTGAAATAGGTCTGGATGTAACATGCTGTTGGGTTTTGGCTGTGTCTTTTGATTGGGGGATTTAGTCGATTTAAATTTAGGATTATTGCCATTTGATGTTAACTGGCTGTTATATCCATTCGTTGATGAAAATTCTTCTTTATGTTGGTGTTCTTTACTTTTTGGTATATTTTTAGTAAGGCTAATACTGGTTGTTTCTTTCTATGTGTAATGCCTCTTTCAGAAGCTCTTGTAAAGCAGGCCTGGTGGTAATAAAATCTCTGAGTAGTTGCTTGTTCATAAAAGATGTTATTTTTCCTTCAGCTGTGAAGCTTAGTTTGGCTGGATATGAAATTCTGGGCCGAAGGTTTTGTTCTTTGAGGTTGTTGAATATTGGCCCCCACTCTCTTCTGGCCTGTAGAGTTTCTGCTGAGAGATCTGCTGTAAGTCTGATAGGCTTGCCTTTGTGGGTAACCTGGCCTTTCTCTCTGGCTGCCCTTAGTATTTTCTGCTTCTTTTCAACCCTGGTGAATCTAACGATTATGTGCTTTGGGGTTGCTCTTCTTGATGAATATCTTTGTGGTGTTCTCTGTATTACCTGGGGTTGAATATTGACCTGCTTTGCTAGTTCAGGAAAATTTTCCTGAATAACATCCTGAAGGGTATTTTCCAGCTTGGATTCATTCTCTCCGTGGCATTCAGGTACACCTATAAAACGTAAATTTGGTCTTTTCACATAGTCCCACATTTCTTGGAGACTTTGCTCATTCCTTTTTATCCTTTGTTCTCTAATCTTGTCTTCTTGTTTTATTTCATTAAGTTGGACTTTGACCTCTGATATCCTTTCTTCTGCTTGAACAATTCGAGTGTTTAAACCTGTGCATACTTCTTGGAGAGTTCCTGTATTGTATTCTTCAGTTCCATTAATTCACTTATATTCCTCTCTGATTTGTCTATTCTCAATAGGATTTCGTCAAACCTTTTTTCAAGGTTCATAGTTTCTTTAAGTTGGGCTACAACATGTTCTTTTAACTCACAGAAGTTTCTTATTATCCATTCCTTGAAGAGTGATTCTGTCATTGGGATGCGCTAGTTCTCCCTCAAGCCTTGTTCCATTGTTGATGTGGAACTGTGATCGTCTTTAGAGGGAGAGGCGTTCTGATTTTGCGTATTCTCAGCCTTTTTACGCTGGTTTCTTCCCATGATTGTAAATTTATCCTCCTGTCGTCTTTGAAATTACCAACTTTCAGATTAGGTCTCTTGAGTGGACATCCAAGTTGTTAGTTCCCAGGGCCAGAATGGCAGCGTTGAGACTGATGGTGCTTTTCTGCCCAGGATTCTCCTGTCTGGCTTCCTTCTTGTGTCCGTAATGGGTGACTCTACCTTCCCGGGGCTCCAAACCTCGGTCAGAAGGGGTACCAGTCTCCTTTACTCTGCGCCGAGAGCTGCCACGCTGAGGTGCCATCACAGCCGCTGCGCCGGCCTTAGGAGTCGTCTGGGGACCCATGTAGGTCCTCCAAACCTCGGTCAGAAGGGGAGCCGGCCCTGTTTACTGTGCTCTGAGAGCTGCCACCGAGGCGCCCGCGAAGCCGCTGCCCCAGTCACAAGAGTCGCGCTGGCAACCTGTGTGGTTCCTCCACTGGGGATCTTGTGCTTCGTGAGCGACCAGAATTTGTCTGAAAGTGTGGCGTCCTCTAGTTCTCTGTGCTTTGACTGAGAGCTGCAATCCCGAGCTGTTATCGATTGGCCATCTTCGATGAAATTATTTTAACAAAAATTGTTATGCTCTGTTTGGAATAAACAGCAATAACCAATTCATTTTCATGAGAGATTTTTGGATGAAAATGTTAGGTAAGCACACTGTCTATAAGCAAAAGAAATCTAATTAACTTTACTTAGAATTAACTGGCAATGCTTTTCTATTTGGCAACAGTTTACTATTCAAGCTAGTACCTTAAAGCAATCAAAAAGACGATCAAGTTGTCCAGGAGAAATATCTGCCTGTTGAAAAAACAAAATAGAATAAAAAGCAAACAAAAAATTATAGTGTTTTATTAGAATGAGCACAGAAAGTTAATTATTAAGATAAATGTATGTCAAATTGCAGGGTCTTTACTGCCGGCGACCATTGAGGACTCGTGTCTCTCCAATCCATACCTTCAAAATGAGCGTGTCAAGAGCTTTATGCCCGTAAACCACCACCTCGGCAGGGGTGGAAGTGAGGGGCTTTAGACATTCCTGAGGGCTAGTAGGCTTGAACATCCTGTAAACCACCTCCTGGGCAAGAACAAGAGTGAGAGTCTTCGAACATTTGATTGTTACTTAAATGGTTCAAAGAAGTCAAGATGAGCATTAGTTTACACACTGCCTAAATAGAATAAAAATTACAGAACTTAAGTACTTATTACAAGTGACAGGGGCCAAGATAACATAAGTTTAGACAACCTGCCTGTGACATCAGAGTTACAGAGAGCAATTTCGACAGAAAGCAGAAGTATAATTAAAGTATATAATTTTATAAAACTTTTACCATGTCACAATAGCATAGTTAAATTTTAATAGAAGGAACAAAATAGTTCTACTAAAACAATCCCCATTACTTAATAAACATCCCTACTTCATTTGAGGTAATAACAGAATTCTTACTATTTAAAATGCTTTAGAACTGTAATTTAATACTTGGCAATTTGAGTTTTTTGGGGTATAAATAGTAAACTTTGGAAATTAATATAAAAACTTACTAGAAGGTATTTACAAATAAAACAGAAAAAGAGTTCAAAATAGTGGACTGTTTAAAAACCCAAAGCTAAAGTGCTCAATTTTTGTTGTTTCTCTTAAAAAAAAAAAAAAAAAAAGGGAAAAACTAGCTTTATGAACCAGTGCCTAACAAACACCCCAAGTGACTCATGAATAGAAACCTGCCATTAAGATAATGTAAAAAAAAAAAAATGGATTCGTGTCTCTGAAACCAGGGCTTTTGGTTTTCTTTTTTAATAAACAGCCACAATCTTCTGTAATAATCCTAAGTTCTTAAACATCACAGTAATGCCTCTCTTGTGACATTTGTTTCTTCTATGCATTATATAGGTGAAAAACTCCAACTGCAGATTCTTTATACTCTTCCAACAATCATTCCTTTAATGATAATTATTTTGCGATATACCTCTTTCATTTAAAACCATCTGTAAGGTGCTACGCATTAGTATATAAAAAGACAGAAAAGTTATTTTTTGCTTAAAAAATTCGGTAGGATTTCTTTCCATAAATAACATATGCATCAGCAAAAGGCAGGCAATACTAAATTGCTAACCATTACATAAGGATTACCACAAATTTTCTCATTTTCAGTATCTTTCCTAGAAAATAGTTACAGCTCAATTTCTTACCTGTGCTGACCAGATATTATCAAGGTCCTGTAATGTAAGAGCCTTTTCTTTAATCACAAATCGGAGAATTTTCTCTAGCTTTTCTACATAATGTGGTTGATGAAGACTGTCTCCCAAGACTATGGATAAGATATTATTTTGCTGTATCCATTCCTAAATGTAACAAAAAAATTCAATGCAGAAACTAAAAACCAGTTTTTCAAGGAACCAAAATAAAAATTTGTCTCTGACTTCTAAATAACATGAGTAGGAATTCAAAGGTCCAAATTACGTGTACATTCACAAATTACTGCACAGTACTTAGGTGTTCTGTGTAAACTGAAAACTTAAGCACTAAAATACCATTTCATAGAATTTGGCACACAAAATCTTCAGATAGGTGTGCAAGATTCACATATTATAATCCCCTAATATAATGAATTACTTTAATGTTTTAATCTGTAGTGAACATTCAATAAACAATTCCACAAAATTTTAATTCTGCATATAAAGATTCCCATATGTCATACAACAGTACACTTCTCAAACTATCTATTGAAAACAACCAATATTATATTTCCAATCTGCTTAAGATTTTTCTGTAAAATGCAACAAAAATGCGACAGCAGTGTCAATTTGCTTCAAAATTTACTAAATATCTTCACCATTTGTGTCTCTCAAGAACTAGTAATAATTCAAGGATTAGTGAATATAGTAGGTAATTCTGTTTAACATTTCAAAAAGCAGGTAAATTGCATACATAAAACCTGACCACCAGCATTGTGTATGAGCCTGGGTCTAAGATAAACACTACTGATACCACCCAAATGTCCTTAACGTTGTAATCATTTCTATTATCAACCTAAATACTATTTTATGGTAAAGATTACTCTACAGAAATGGATCTTCAAACGCAACAATCCATATATACTTTAGCACTTAATACTTTTGGTTAACTGTTTGCTATTCATTTCAAAATTAAAATATATGAAAATATCTGTGGTAGTTTCTTTACATCTCGAAATTACATACCTAAGTGATTTCAAAATGAAATTATTAAGAAATGAATCTTACACTTTGGGAGGCCAATGGGGATGATCATGAGGGTCAGGGGTTCAAAACCAGCCTGGCCACGACGGTTAAACCCTGTCTCTAATAAAAACACAAAACTTGGCTGGGCATGGTGGTGGGAACCTATAATCCCAGCTACTCAGGAGGCTTAGGCAGAGAAATGGTTGACCCTGGAAAGCAGAGGCTGCAGTGAGCCAAAATTACGTCACTGCACTCCAGCCTGAGAGACAGAGCAAGACTCCGATTAAAAAAAAAAAGACTAAAGAAAGAAAAACAAGGAAAGGAAGGAAGGAAAAAAGGGAGAGAAGGAAAGATGGAGGGAGGCAGAGGAGGAGGAAGGGAAGGGGAGGGAGGCAGGGAGGGAGGATCAAAATCTTAGTATATTTAAAATCATGATAAAGAATTACTCAATGGACACCTTACCACATTAGTTACAATCCCAATTTGTAAACCTCCAAATAGAATTGGGAAGGGATCACTATGCTAGTTCATTCACTAAACTGCAGATCTACTCAATCCTTCTAAAAATCAGGTGTTACTATTAAACCAAGCAAGCTATTTACATTGTCAATAGCTACATTCAGCAACAATGTTTACCAAAGAAACAATTAAGTTTCCTCAACAATTTTAAGTAACAAATCATTTGTTTTTAAATCTTTTATTATTATTATTATAAAAAGATCCTACGATTAAATAGTCATAACTCTTTCTTTCAATTTTAGTTTTTGGTATTGTTGCTTCTAACAGTAACTGTAATAATCTAATTTTCCAGAAGAAGCATCTTATTCACACACACACAAAAAAAGAATTAAAAGGCTTACTGCAGTTGGTGGGAGTGTAAATTAGTTCAACCATTGTGGAAGACAGTGTGGCGATTCCTCAAGGCCTTAGAAATAGAAATTCCATTTGACCCAGCAATCCCATTACTGGGTATATATCCAAAGGACTATAAATCGTTCTACTATAAGGACACATGCACGCGAATGTTCATTGCAGCACTGTTTACAATAGCAAAGACCTGGAATCAACCCAAATGAGCATCGATGATAGACTGGATTGGGAAAATGTGGCACATATACACCATGGAATATTATGCAGCAATCAGAAATGATGAGTTTGTGTCATTTGTAGGGACATGGATGAATCTGGAGAACATCATTCTCAGCAAACTGACACAAGAACAGAAAATGAAACACCGCATATTCTCACTCATAGGCGAGTGATGAAAAATGAGAACACAGGGACACAGAGAGGGGAGTACTAAACACTGGGGTCTATTGGGGGGAAAAGGGGAGGGCCAGTGGGAGGGGGAGGTGGGGAGGGATAGCCTGGGGAGAAATGCCAAATGTGGGTGAAGGGGAGAAAGCAAACAGAACACACTGCCATGTGTGTACCTATGCAACTGTATTGCATGCTCTGCACATGTACCCCAAAACCTAAAACGCAATAAAAAAACAAAAAGGAGTAAGGATCTGCTGGAGTGATGAAAATGTTCTAAAGCTGGAAGAGTTTCAGAACTCTGTAAAATTTATTAGAAACCACTCAGTTTATATGTAAAAGAAATACATAATATGTAAATTATACTTCAATAAAGTTGTTAAAGTAACTTGCCCAGTAAGCAAAAAATATTTCCAGTTTATTGCCAAAATATTTAAACTACCAATCATTCAATGTACATATTTTAAAAGACATGAATTTGAAATAATTATCTTTAACTCAAGCAAAGGATGGTTTCCACATCAAAATGCTAAAATATAGGAAATTTCTATTGTAGTTTAAAAACTAACTTAATAAAACAACAAGACCTAAAAGAAAGTGTTAAGTTGTGCAACAAACCAAGAACTGAATGTTAAAATTGAGATAAATATCTACTTTCTAAAACTGTAAGCTGCATTGTAAATACCTGATTTTAAAAATCTATTAGTAGATATCCATTAAAAGTTCATAATACTGGATATTGGAAAATGCATTTCAACATCCTAGAAGAAAAAAAGACCTACATAAAATCCTTTTTTCTTTTTTCTGAGATGGTGTCTCACTGTCGCCCAGGCTAGGGTGCAGTGGCCTGATCTCGGTTCACTGCTACCTTCGCCTCTCAGATTCCAGCAATTCTCCTACCCCAGCCTCCTGAGCAGCTGGGGCTAGGCGCCTGCCACCATGCACAGCTAACTATTGTATTTTTAGTGGGCGGGGGTTCACCATTTGGCCAAGGTGGTCTCAAACTACTGACCTCATGATCGGTCCGCCTTGGTCTCCCGAAGTGCTAGTACAAGCATGAGCCACTGCTCCGTCCTTCTTTTTTTTTCCCTTTGGTGAGACGCAGTCCACTCTCTCACCCAGGCTGGAGTGCAATGGCACAGAACTTGGCTCACTGCAACTTCTGCCTCGATTCTCCTGCCTCTGTTTTCCAAGTAGCTAGGATCACACCCAAGCGCCCACCACCATTCTCGGCTAATTTATGTATTTTTAGTAGAGACAGGAATGTTGGCCAGACTGGTCTCGAACTACTAATCTCCGGTATTCACCCGCGTCGGCTCTCAAAGTACTGGGATTACAGGCATGAGCCGCCGCTCCCGGCACAGTAAATCGTTCTTTTCCACTTTCACTGTTAAGGTACCATAACATTAAAAAGACCAAAACAGGCTCCAGTAATAGTTAATATAATCTACTGTTAAAAATGTCTTGGCCGGGCGCGGTGACTCACTCCTGTAATTCTAGCACTTTAGGAAACCGACACGGGTGGATCACAAGGTCAAGAGATCGAGACCATTTTAGTCAACAGGGCGAAATCCTTCTGTACCAAAAATACAAAAATTAGCTTGGTGTGGTGGCGCATGCCTGTGGTGGCGCACTCCCGTAGTGGTAGCTTCTCGGGAGGCTGAGGCAGGAGAATCGCTTGAAGCTGAAAGGCTGAGGCTGCAGTAAGCCAAGATCGCGCCACTGCACACCAACCTGGGTGACAAAGCAAGACTCCGTTCCCGCCCCCCCCCCAAAAAAGTTTTTATTACGTAATTCTCAAATATAAAGTTGTTGCTATTATGTAGCCTTTATAAAAATTTCCTCCAAGTTAAAAAGAAAAGTCATATAAATTATTAATGCCACCCCACAAAAGGGAGTAATACAACAGCAAGCCCAAACTGACAGAGTAAACATTCACGCCGTCACTGTTAACAGGAAACTATAAGAATAAATAATTAAAATCTGACAATCCTTTTTCAAGTCAGTATAATAGAAAGTATTTGCAACTCACCCTTGAATCACCTTCAGGCTTTCTTCGCAAACTGGAAGAATAGTTTCAAAAGAGGAAGTTAAAAGCATATAAATGGGTTTTATAACTGAAAAATAAATCCTCTACTTTTAAACAATTGCGCCTTTGCGGAGCCTTAGACTAAGAAAAATGTGTAAGTTTATGGTTTTTTTTTTTTTTTATGGTCTGTTTATTAAAGTTTAAGGGTATGGTTTTAGTACTTAATTATCGGTTAATGACTAGTGAGAATGAACCCCAAGAAAAGAACTGTTGTAAATTTCGTGGAAAAAGAAATGCAGATTTCTTTCTTAATAGTGGTCATGTTTTCTGAACTTAGAGGATGAATGAGTTGGCCAGAAAAAGCATGCCCCCCAACCCCCGGCCAAAAAAAAAAAAAAAAAAGCCAGACGCAGTGGCTGACGCCTGTAATCCCAGCACTTTGGGAGGCCAAGGTGGGCAGATCGTCTGAGGTCAGGAGGTCTAGAGCAGCCTGAGCAACATGGAGACACCCCGTGTCTATTAAAAATAGAAATAGCAAGGCAAGGTGGTGAGCGCCTGTAATCCCTGCTACTCAGAGGTTGAGGAGAAGAATTGCCGGATCCCGGGAGGCAGAGGTTGCGGGGAGCAGAGATTACGGCACTGCACTCCAGTGTAGGCAACAAGAGCAAAACTCCGTTTCAAAAAAAAAAAAACGTTAAACAAACAAAAACTCCGCATTAGTAGTTAAGGGTTTCGTACATGTTTCAAGCTTTAAAAACCTTCTGTAAAAGTTATTCAAATACTGTAAGATAAATTGGGCAGTGTAAATTAAGTAAAATTATAAGCGAATTTTACAAATAAAATTCTTTGCATACATGTTGTTTAAAATTCCTGTGTAAATTTCCAGTTTGCACAAAACTTCATAGAAATTAGTATCACAGCTGCTCCATATAAAATAAGTTAATATTTTAAGATACTGAAAAATCACGTTATGCGTAATGCTTCAATACAGAATCAGGTTCAACCAGTAACAGAAACAAGTTGTTTCTGTAGACAACAAAACAGAAAAGAGAAAGATGCAAACTAAATTGGAACCGAAATGTTCATTAAAATATGTCGTACTGCGTTTTAGCGTTTAGCAAAGTAGAGGAAAGGAAGAGGAGGTGTTAAGAAAGCAAAAACCTAACGTTTTGCGGCCTCTAGTCAGATGGTGTGGGTGCCTGCCGGAGGTGTACAAAAAATGTGGCCTAATGTCCGAGGACCGAGGAGTCGTAGCTTAGTTCCTAATTATTGTACCTCGGAAAAGGTGTTTAGTCTAAGTGTAACAGCCAGTTTTGAGTCTGTGCAGGACAGTGGGGCAAAGACTGTAACCCAGAGCGGTTAGTCCGTGGCGCTGAGTGAGGTGAGGAGCACAAATAGGGGTTCCTCCTGTGAAAACAGAAAATTTAATTCTACCACTTCATGTTAGATATTAAGAAAAATAAGAAAGGCCGGGGGAGACTAGGCGGCCATTTTTCCTTAAAGTTCCGCTCGCTCGTGTGCGCACCACTGCGATATAAAAAGCCCCCTGCCGGGTAGGGTTAAATAAGAAACTAACATACTCAGAAGCCCCTGAGCCTCCTAGGTCATCTCAAGCAAGTCTGTTGGTGGTTGGGAAGCGGGGGTCGTAAACGTGGGAAAGACGGACAACAAATATCAGTAAAATATTTTGATATTAGATATTTTCTCGTCAAGCGGCCATGACTACGGCCTGGGTACCTGACAAAGGCATTGCTTAAAAAATCGGACATTCGTCTATAAGGCGTCTTTACAGAGGTGACCAGTGCCGCTATCTCTTGTCATTTAGTATCCCTCTTTACCTGTTTTCGCCTCGCGGTAGGGTTGTCGCTGAGTTTACAAGGATTCCAGGTGCTGAGGTTTTCCTGAGTGACTTTGTACTATTCACACAAAGGCGTCTTTAGCTAGGCTCCACTTTTCTTTACTCGCGGTTTTCGGCCGGGTCTCTCCGGAGACTTCCTGTCCCGACACCAGTAGGAAGCGCTGAGTGATGTCGCAAGAAAGAGACAATCTTCGTTAGGATCTAGTAGTACACTGAAAGAGGGAGAATCTGAGAGCAACACAGTCCGTCCGTAACTGGCGGGGATCGGTTAAACTGTGTCTCAGGCGATCTAGTAGACTCTACCCCTCAATATGGCGGTTGGAATTTGCCGACCAAAAAAAAAAAAAAAAAGACACAGACCGCTTAGCCAGCTGCGCAGACTCCCACTAACCCCAGCGCCACGACCCTCCAAGACCCCACCCCCGCCAAGGCCCGCCCCCGGGACGTCCACTTAGCTGATCTAAGCCTTATTCTCTTTGGTGTCTGTGCCTCTTCTTATTTTTATGCCGCATTTCTACTCTACCTATACCCAGAAACAGCGGAACTGGAAATACTTTGGTACTCTATGCAGAAACCTAACTCCCGACTGAATCGTATCCATTACCAAACACTGGGATAACAGCATAGATGGACATACAATAAAAAATACCCAAAGATGCCACTGGTTATCCTGCTGCCCCTTTGCGAACTTCCACAGAATTCCCTATCCCTAATCTTTACTTCTGTAGCTGCCTGTGCAAACAGCTGACTACTAGACAGGCGGGAGTGACCAAAGGCGCTTACTAAGACTCCAAGTCTAATGTGAACTGCTACCACTCACTATACGGCATAATCAAGAAAAAAAGTCAACGCCAGGAGAGGTGATATGCCTAATAAGGGATTAACCTTGCGTGGCCCGACTATGTAGCTCTGACGATTTCACTTTCACCACTGGTTTTTACAGCATCGTTTATGTCTGCTTTGGCAGATAGGAGCCTGCATGAAAACATCATCAGTTTTCAAGTATTCCAAGATGAACAGTTCAGAGAAAAGTCAGTCTGAATGCTGAGAACCTGAGAATTCCTGCTGCGCCGCCTGGGAATTCACAGAGCAGGTTTTAAGGCGCCACGACTTCTCGCCTCCTGTGTCATGCAAGAAAACCTACCCTATCCTGAGACTCTTGCTTAGGGTCACTATAATAGCTCTTTCCATAAAATCTTGGGCCAGGCCACCTATCTGACGGAATACCAGAAAAACCTCCTTGTGCTGTCCTGCAAGACGTATTCAATTGCTACTTCGACTTTGTTCTTTAATGTGATTGTATGGTATATTACATTAACTAATTTTTCATCTTAAATCCATCATAAATTCCCGTGAAAAGCCCCACTTGATCATGATTTAAAATATATGATATATTGCAGATTCACTCTCATTACATTTTGTCCATTTTTGTATCCACCTACCACACTCTTGCAGAATTGCACATTTGTTAAGGTTAGATATCATGTTATACTTAAGACCTTATGAAGTTCTTAATACATGTATTGCTATCCTTGGTTTTCCGTTTAAAAAAAGTTATAAAGCTGGGCGTCGTTGCTCACGCCTGTAGTCCAAGCACTTTGTAGGCCAAGGCAGGTGGATCACCTCAAGTGGGGAGTTCAAGACCAGCCTGACCAACATGGTGAAACTCTGTCTTAAAAAAAAAAATTAAATTTAAATTAAAAAAAAACAAGGTTAATTGCCCAAGATCACCAGACAAGAATAAGTAAAAAATAAAAAAAAAAAAAAAAAAAAAAATGCAACTGTTGGCCAGGCATGATGGCTCAGTCCTGTAATCTCATCACTTTGGGAGGTCGACAAGATAGGTCACTTGAGGTCGTGAGTTAAAGAACAGCCTGGCTAACAGGATGAAAACCCTTCTCTTCTAAAAATACAAAAAATCAGCCAACTGTCTGAGCAGGTGCCTGTAATCCCACCTACTCAGGAGGCCAAGGCAAGACATCCGCTTGAAACTGGGAGGCAGAGGTTGCAGTCAGCGCAGATGGCACCACTGCACTCCAGCCTGGGTGACAAGAGCCAGACTTTATTAAAAAAAAAAAAGAAAAAAAAAAAAAAAGAATGCAAGTATTCTAACCTCTAACAAAGCTCACTTTTTGCTCCACCTCTATGTCCCAAGTAATAATCATAACCAAAAGCTTCTTTAGACCTTATTTCTGCCTTATACTTCTACCTTTCTTTACTTCTCCTTTGAAAGACAAGTCTTGATAGGTAGACAGATTAAGACATAGGCTAATTTTCTTCTTTAACATTGCTAAGATGTTATTGTATAACATACTTCCTATAAACATCACAGCTCAATTTAGTACTATAAACTAGTAAATTAGGTAATAATACTCTCATACACAGGTCTGTTAAATATATCAGTGTTACTACCACCATGTCAATATAGAACTGTTGGTGAAGAACCTAGGCGGGGGAAGGGGGGAGGTGAAGAACTCTGTTGGATCTGGGATTAAATAGTACCTACAAGTTTCGCCTGCTTATTCAGTGGATCCTGACAAGATAATATTTTGGGGCCGGGCGCGGTGGCTCACGCCTGTAATCCCAGCACTTTGGGAGGCCGAGGCGGTGGATCATGAGGTCAAGAGATGGAGACCATCCTGGTCAACATGGTGAAACCCCGTCTCTACTAAAAATACAAAAAAAAATTAGCTGGGCATGGTGGCGCGTGCCTGTAATCCCAGCTACTCGGGAGGCTGAGGCAGGAGAATTGCCTGAACCCAGGAGGCGGAGGTTGCGGTGAGCCGAGATCGCGCCATTGCACTCCAGCCTGAGTAACGATAGCGAAACTCCGTCTCAAAAAAAAAAAAAAAAAAAGGATAATATTTTGGGACTAAGAGCCACAAACTTACAGCACTACCAAACAGTATCATGGACTTTACTACTCATAGGAAAACAAGCACCCTGAGCATCATGTTTACAGACTACCAATGCTTTCTAAATCCCATAGGAATGATGCAAAGTGGCCCACATATATATAATGCCAGACATGCAATGTTTGCATTCCAGTTAAGACACAGCTTGGAATTCTACTACTTTTATACTAACGCATAAGCAAGCTTGGTCTTTGTGTGTTAGAAAGTAGAGAAGGATATTACCTTAACTTTTTAGGTTACTTAGAAATAACATAGATAGATAAAGAGTAGTCAGGCTGTTGCATTGTGTCATACCCAGGAAGGCATATTAGGACTGCAAGACTGATGGAAGTCTGTCTCTCCCAACAAATACTGCTAACATCTCAGAAACATGTCTTCCTAGTCCTTGTCTCCCCATGACCCTCTTAATTAACTCTTCTGAATCCTATCATTACCTAATTTTGATTTATGTCATTACCTGATTTTGATTTATATCAAAGATGAATAGATTCATGTGGCATGTAAACTTGTTTTTGGCTTATTTCCTCAATCTTATATCTGAGAGCTTCATTTATGTAGTATAATATATAAAATACCAGAACATATCTATCTCATTACTGTTGGTGGACATTGAGTAATTAACATTAAGTAATTGAGTCCATATCTTTTTGTAGAGATCTATCCTTATTTGTACAAAGCCTAGTATTGGATTCCTAGAGTTTGAGTATACATACACTTATCTTGAATGGATAGCGTTAAATAGTTTCCCAAAGTGGTTGTATGTCTTTGGATCATAAACTTGCAGTGTTTGTTTGTATGTCATAAGCAACCAAATATTGGTTTAGTGTGTAAGTTATATATCCACCAGTGTTGCCAGAGGGGAATATTCAACCAAATGGAACTCACCAATCAACTCTCTTCCTGTGCTCTAAGGAGATACCCATCAGCACCTTGATTCAGCATGGGTCTGGAATTTTGATACTTTCTTTTCTTTTTTTTTTTTTTTTTTTTGAGTTGGAGTAATCACTCTACTGCCAGGCTGGAGTGCAATGGTACAATCTCAGCTAACTACAACATCTGCCTCCCAGGTTCAAGCAATTCTCCTGCCTCAGTCACCTGAGTAGCTGGGATTTCAGGCATGTGCCACCACGCCCAGCTAATTTTTGTATTTTTAGTGGAGACATAAACATAGTGGAACATTTCACCATGTTGGCCAGAATGTTCTCAATCTCCTGACTTCGTGATCCGTGCCTTGGCTTCCCAAAGTGTTGGAATTACAGGTGTGAGCCACTCTGCCCAGCTGAATTTTGATAATTTCTCTTCAATTAATACCATAGGAAATGGGGGAGATGTCTGAGTTACAATCATAGATTAAATAGCAGAATATAATACTACAAATTAAAGTTTGTATGTTAAGGGACTTCTTCCCACTTCTTTTGTTCATATTTTTCTTCAATAATTACTGCCTTTAACATTAATGTTACTTCCGGCTGGGCACAGTGAGCCACACCTGTAATCCCAGCTCTTTGAGAGGCCAAGGAAGGTGGATCACCAGGTCAAGAGATCAAGACCATCCTAGCCAACATGGTGAAATTCGGTCTCTACTAAAAATATAAAAATTAGCTGGGCGTGGTGTCATGTGTCTGTAGTTTCATTTACTTGGGAGGCTGAGGCAGGAGAATTGTTAGAACCCGGGAGGCAGAGGTTACAGTGAGCCAAGACTGCCTCACTGCAGTCCAGCCTGGTGACAGAGGAAGCCTTTACCTCAAAAACAACACAACACAAAACAAAATAAAATAAAATAAGACTTTAATATTACTTCCTTACTCTCTGGTTCTGTATTGGTATGAGAAAAAAAAAAGCTATTCCATTACATTTTATTTTTATAATGACTTTTTTTTTTTTTTTTTTTGAGAGGGAGTCTCACTCTATTCCCAGGCTGGAGTGCCATAGCGTGATCTTGGAGCACTACGACCTCCACCTCCCTGGTTCAAGTGATTCTCCTGCCTTCAACTTCCCGAATAGCTGAGATTACAGGTACATGCCATGATGCCCAGCTAATTTTTGTATTTTTAGAAGAGACAAGGTTTCATCATGCTGGCCTGGCCGATCTCAAACACCTGACCTCATGATCTGCCTCCCAAAGTGCTGGATTATAGGCCTTAGCCCCTGCACCAGGCCTATATTGTATTTTGTTTATTTACTTCTTAATTTTGTTTATATGTAATTTTGCCCTTGTCACCCAGGCTGGAGTACAATGGCACCGTCTTGGCTAACTGCAACCTCCGACCCCAGGGTTCAAGCAATTCTCCTGCCTTAGCCTCCCAAGTAGCTGGGACTACAGGCGCCTACTACCACACCTGTCTAATTTTTGTGTTTTTGGATTTCACCATGTTGGCCAGGCTGGTCTTCAACTCCTGACCTCAAGTGATCCACCCACCTCAGCCTCCCA